GGTCTGTCTTTCAGGAAATCTAATCTGTAGCAATCTTGTTCTCATTTGCAATCTCTCAGGATTGTGAGTGAAGGTCAAGTATATGCCAGGTCTTCGAAGCACTGCTAGGATTAGCACATCTCACCCCTCTTACGCTTAGTCACATGTTCTATAGCCGAAAGTTTCCCGAATAGCTGTTTCATTTCTTACGAATACCGTAGCTCGAGTTCAAAAAGCTCGTTCTATACCTGCTTGATTTCGTTGACGTCATCCTCGCTGACACCCTCGTTTTGTTGCTTCATCCGTTGCATTTGAGCAATGTAGCGCTTGATGAGATTACGGGTGACGAACTGCAAAACGAATCAGCCATTGACCAATCTGACCAACACTACGGTGCATTTGATTCTATCAGTCTGCAATTTCACGCACACATCTCGTCTACAGTACACCACTTCACCCCAGTCTACTGCGTGAACTACAGCACGTGTCGCACAGTGGTATCTTCCTAGAGGTTGTGTCCAACAGAGTCTTGATGAAAATTGGAATGTTGAAAAGTAATTAAAATAGAAAATCCTAAGAAAATTCCCATGCAACTGCACAATGGGGGTCACGTAACGTTAACAAATAAGTTTACCAGGAAATTTTGCTCTACTTTGCATATGGTGGTCAGAGTGCGCTGAAATTACTTGAAAAATTAATTAGAAAATTGAACGCGACTTACGCGGTAATTGCTCTCAAGGTCATTGACGACGCGAAGGATTTTTTGATTCTGAAATGCGATACGTCAATATTGTCAAAAAGAGCAGTAATACAAATTCATTCATAACAAGGTGAGTGACTGTACTTCGAGCTGTTAGTTGTAGCCATAGGCGTTTTCTAGTTGAAAAACATGTTTACTTTTCAGTCCCACGATTACTGAGTATCATGCTTGCGCTCAACACACAGTCCCCTGAGTCTTTCCTTTGGGCAGGTTCAATGGTGACACTTTCGGAAAGCTGAAAGATTTGAAACTTCATTCTTCACGCAATTACGCTCCATACCCCGAAAACAGGGTGGGCGTGGGTATGTTTTTCATTCGAACATGGCGTTGGATACGTTTTTCGTGGGATATTTCCGTTCTCGACAACTGTCATCCTGTATAGCGTTGTACAATGACATGATTACAGTTGTCCCAGAGCAGTAATATTGCATCAAAAGCGCAGCCGCCATCGCGTTCGAATGAAGTTCCCTCCCCATTCAGAATATGGACTGTACCTTCCGGGTCAAGGTCTGCGCAGATTTTTCGCTGAATTAGCCAGAGCTCGCTAGTGCCATGACTGCAGTGCAGACGCACCGGAAATTGAGGGTCGAATAGCCACCCACTTGTGACTAATCGGCCACAATCAACTCTGGCAAGTGGCGCTATAATGGAACAGGGGGCATATGGGGTAAATACGCCAAGTACGGATTGCGCCCTAAGAAAGTGCTGCGTGGCTCCTTGTCCAACCAAGGACGTCGTTATAGCATTCGCGCTAAGGCTGCGTTTATACTTTGCGGCAGCGTAGCGTAGCGCTTCCAGCGTACGCCAGCGGCAGTGCCGGGGAGAGGATGGATATCGATCTAGCGTTCCCAGCGTCACCAGCGTAGCGTACGCCAGCGTTTCTCCAGCGTTTCACCAGCGTTTTGCTGGCGTTTGCAGCGGCAGGGGAGTAGAGACTATGTGGCCGTCAGAGACGCAGAATCGATGTGTATGGTAGAGACTATGTGGCCGTCAGAGACGCGGAATCGATGTGTATTGTAGAGACTGAGGGCGAGTGAGAGACGCGCAATCGATGTGTTTTGTACCCTCCAGCTCTCCCATAGTCTCTACTCCCCTGCCTGCAAACGCTGGCGTAATCGCTAGCGTTTACGCTAGTGACCGGCTAATGCACGCTAAGATCGATATGCATCCTTCCGCCGCGGCAATCTCGCCGCTGGTCGTACTGCTGGAAGCGCTACGCTACGCTGCCGAAGTAAAACGCAGCCTAACCGATGTGCTGGAGGACGACCTGTGCCCACTGCAACTTCCCGCCCACAAGGGCCGCACAGCCACAGACGCTGGTACTCTTGAAGCTTCATTCATGAAGTAGAATTGCTATGAAGAAGCAGCGGTGCCGTATGGAATATATGCATGCAGCGGTTTACCGGAGCGGTATTTGTTACGATGCCAACGGGAAACTCGTCCGAAATTGCTGTCTGTCAGAATATACTGGTCCAACTTAAATGCTCGCAGATTTTGGCCAGCTACCTTCACACTTTCTTCATTTTTCATTGTATAGCACCCCTGCTAGCATGTTAGAGAGTACCAAGTAGACCATTCCTTTTGCCTCCAAATTTCGTAGTGACGAGATTGTTCCTGTTGTTTTTACTACAGAAAGTTTTTTTTACAGAAGATTTGTTACTGCAGTTTAGAGGACCGCTGAAAAAGGTTACGAGTAGTTTACCCTCATACTGCGCTGTTTTCCGGCTCGAATCGCTTTTGAGCAACTGCAGTACTTGTCGAAAATCCATTTCAGTCCTGAAAAAGAACGATTAGAAGAGCGATGGCTATATTAGTGGCATATCTTACCGTAGTAGAAGCTCTTTGGGCTGGGAATGATATTGAACGGTGGCGGTAATGTGGCCGTATCATCAAAGTATTCAACAAAAAGTTTACTTCGCGCAAATTTCCATTCAACATCGGCTTGGTTCTGAATAAAAGGTGCTTAAAGGCACATTCCACTATAAAAAGGGGCAATGGAGTTCATATGTGACTTGAAGGTGACAAATTTTACTGTTCAGTAAAAAAAATCAAAAAAGACCGTTGAAAGCGGCATAAGTTAATTCCGTCGTTTGTGCAATCAGTTTTGAGGG